CCAATCCTCCATCCATTGTAGGTCTTCCTTTTTAGATACAGGAGGTCTGCTAGTTCCCTGCAGAGAGCCAAGGGGCTGCTGTGCCCTTTTGCTGCCTTTCCTCCAAGATGGGATAGACTTTGCTTGTGCATCCAGGATTGTTCCTTTGAGGAGCAACAACTCCTTCTGAACCTGCCTCCCCTTTGGGTTGTGGCCCTTCAGGGCCTCCCTGACAAGCCTCCTGAAGTCAAGGACTTCTGTATTGCTGACTGACTTGCCAGCTTTATGGCAGAAGGTGAAGGTGATCAGCTCATGGTCACTGTCACCCAGCTTCCCTTCGATTATTAGGTTGCTGATTAGATCATCCCCCATTGCCAAAAACAGGTCAAGCAGCACTTTACCTCTTGTCGGCCCGTCAACTTCTTGCGTCAGAGCTTATCCATGCATGAGAGAGAGCTTTGCAACCACTCGGATTTCGTGGAGCGCTGTTCCCACAAGATGTCTGGGTAATTGAAGTCTCCCATGACAGCCATACACCGGGAGCATGTGGCCTTGGCCAGTTCCCTGGCGAACTCCTGGTCAAGCTCTTGATCCTGGGTTGGAGGTCTGTAGTAGACTCCCACCATTGTGTCCTCTGTGCCATGTTCCCCACGGTTTTTAACCTGTCCACCCTGGATGCCAGTGTAGCCTTGTGGGGACGCATAGCTTTCCTTGACATAGAGCTACACCCCCGCCCATTTTGTCCACTCCATCCCTCTTGTACAAGGTATAGCCGTCTATACCTGTGGCCCAGTCATGGTGGAGTCCCACCAGGTCTCCGTTATCTCTATGACATCATAGTTATTTGTGTTAAGCAGGAGGACAAGTCCTCCTGTTTATTCCCCAAACTCCAGGCATTTGTGTACAGGCATGCAAGTGTCCCTTTGGGGGCCCTTGCCTTGCCTACAGCTCGCTCCAGGGCTGGGTCAGGGTGGGCTCCCTTAAGTGCCTTGGCCTGTTTTCAGAACACTTTGGGTAAAGTGTTCTGGAAACAGGACAAATGTGGCGTTCCCCACCCTGGGGCATAAGGAGTTGCCAGTCCTCCAGCCACCCACAGCGCTCCTCACCCTTCTGCTCAGCAACCATGTGCATCTAACTGTGCTGAGAGGGCAGGGTGGGGTGGGACTGGAGTATCCTGTTTTGTGACTTGGAAAATATGGTCACCCCATCTCTGTCTTCCTCCTTCCAGATAGGAAAACTGGCATAGAAAAGGGGTATTGAACTCAGTAGCTTCTTGGTTCAGACCACTTAATCTGTCCTTTCCTCCAGCCTGTCCTATTCCAGAGCCTTCTCTACGTGTGTCAGGGCATCAGGCATCTGCCATATTGCTATTGTTAGAGCAGAAGAGTAGGATCAGAGCTAGCAGAGATCCAGTGTGTCTTGCTCTATGACTCCCTGAAGACAACAAAGCAGTTGGTTCCTTGTCCAGAGGGTACAGACAGCATATTTCATTTCTGCAGCTCTGAGGGGATGAGTGCTTTCTACCCTGATCTCTTTGGATGTTTACCTCTCAATGCATGACAAGGCTGAGAGGCCCAACTGAGGCTAATTAAAATGGTGAAGGAATTGAGCATGATCTGTGTCCTTCAATCTGAGTCAATCTGGATGAGAAGCAGCTGGTTAATGAGAGATTTTAAGCTTCCCTGTCTCGAATGGGAGTTGTTGGCAACAGTAGGGTTAACGAACACATGCTTTCAGGCTAGACTTGTCTGTGCAAAACCCAGGGCCTGACAGAATCTGCACAAATAGCCTTTGGGTTTGTATCTGACTCTTGCCTCCCACTGATTCATCTTATACGTTTGCTGAAGCAAAGCCTTAATGAACATGCCCATAGAAGGAGTGAAGCAGCCCCAGCCTGCCAGGACGCTGGTTGGAGCATCTGGGCTTGGTTTCCAGGAAGTGCTGCTGCATTGGCTTCCGGAGAGCTGCCGCAATGCCATTAAGCAACTTCTCCTCCCAGCAGCCACATGTTGATTTTGCTTTGATTAACTTGCTGCCCATCCTATTGCTTGCAGCAGCTTAAAGGCATCTTGCTGCCTGTCCCCTGCGCTTCAGACACTGCCTCTAGCTTAAGTGGATTGTCCCTCGTCTTGTGCTTAAGGGGCTCAATGCATTTCAGGCTGGGAAGCAACTCGTTTTTGCTTTCTCACCTCCTCCCCGGCCTGTGTTGAGGCATTGAAGGGTGCCAGTGTGGTGTGCCCTGCTGCTGTGGCAGTGCCCAAACACAGTGTGCTGTCAAAAGCAGTTTTCCCGCAGCTCCTGCCATGTCAGTGAAACAAATGCTGGCCCCAGGACTCAACCAACTCAGCAGGACAGAGCACTAACCATTTGGCAGCCAGTGAGCTCTCCTAACTGCAGGAGGATTTGTTTCATGTTCAAAGGTTCTCAGTGTTTCAGTCTTGGGAAATGAGACCTTGCCTTGGAAATGCTGCATTTTACTCCTCGGACTGGTTCTGGCTTTGGGGTATAGTGGGAGGTATATACCTCCTACCCTCCTATAATGCCACTCTCAGAGGCTCTAGGGTGCCCTGTTGGCAGCTGATCCCTACATGATTTCACCAGGCCTGGGCAACACTGCTCCTGGCTTAGCAAAACGAGTGTATTTTCCTCCTCCCTCCTTGGTGCCCTCCGAAGCATGGGGATAGTGGCTCGGATTTCAGTCCCTGCTGGGCTAAGCCCGTCTGTCGTCTTCATGCCATTGACCTGCCATTCACCAAGCTGTCTCCAAGTTTGTAGTGCGAGGGCAGGTCAGTGCCAAACAAACATGCTGGCGTCCTTGCCCGAGAGCTGCTGCCCATACATCTCTTGTATCTCTCGGTTCAAGGCTTTCTGATGAGATAAGCTGCTGGGCTGTTTGTTTGGACGTGCTCTTGTTTCGTGCTGTGTGTTGCTTGCACCAAGTCTAGTTCTTGTTGAACAAAGCAGAGATTGCAGGGTAAAGAAGGGGCAGTGCAGAGAGAATGAGACCTGCAGCACACAGTAAACCCACGGGCAGATCTAAGGGGTTTGCAGAGTCTTCGGTGGCTCTCCAGGGCTTGTTTACTGCTGGCAGTTAGAGGTAGCCTCATGTCACAAAATTTAGATTTAGCTTGGCGCTTTCCTGGCCTTTGGTGGGGTTCAGTACAGTCTACAATAGACTCAAACAGGGGGTGAAGGACTTGGCTGGGTCTGGTTTTCCACAGAACTTGGCTCAGGAGTTGGTTTGGGTCCATCTCCTGTTAAAAAAACGGCAGGGGGGAAGCACTGTACCACCACAGTGGCAGCCGTGTAAACAAGGACAATTCTACCTTGAGGGACGTGCCCTCTACATATAACACTTATTGGTGAGGGTAGTTTTCACAAACTATTACACAAATAAGTCAAAACAAGAGATTTTAATGTAGGGAAATCTATGCCCTCATCTCCCCTGCTGTCACCTATGACATACAGGATGTTCTTGATGCTTCGGGTATTGTGCCTTGAGGTTTTGCGTGAAGGTTTCAAGGGATGATGAGAGAGACTGTATGAATTCAGGGCACTGGACTCTGACCCTGGCAGTATTACTGTGAATGACCGAGAGCCCCATCCATGGTGGGCTTTGTCCATCTCTAACGTTCATGATCATGCAGATTTATAAACCGAGTTCGCTGGGTGCGGACTGTGTGTCTGTGTTTATTCCCCTTAGCACTTCTTTCCTGACCAACTCAATGGGCATATAGCAACTGCCTCACTGTGGGAAGCAGAGACTCCTTTTCTCGCCCCTGTAATGACTAGATCAGGTTAACACTGTACCTTGGCATTGCCCACTTGCCATCAGAAAATGTGCTGGGCTACACAAATTCTAATAAGGGAGCTTTGCAGCGGAGTTAACAGTCTTGTGCGGTGGCTGCTGAAAAGACCCGACTGGTTCACAGACGCTTGTGGATGAACTCCGGGCATGTTATAACCTTCTTTGTTTGGTTGCACATTATGATTTAGTGCATAGCACCTCCAGGCAGAGTTGGCCTTGGAGGGGGGGCAATGTGAGCAACTGCTCAGGGCACCATGGTCAGGCGGGTACCACACATGCACGCTTGCAGCAGTGCTCTCACGTCACATCACCCCACCCTAGCGGAGCCGTGCCCCAGGCAGGCGGAGTGGTGCCTGGTCCAGCCTGCCCTCCGCCCCCAGCTGCTGCTCAGGAAGAGTCAGGCCGGGCAGTGCAGGTGGCAGCAATCCCACCATGCCATTCAGCTTCCTTGCCAGGCTGCATCCAGTACCCATGCCCACCTGCCTCTGCCTGCAGCAGTGCTGCTGGTGGCGGGCGGTGGCACCAAAATACAAGGTCCTCAGAGTACCAGTTTGCCTAAGGCCAGCTCTGCCTCCAGGTGACACGTGGTTGTTCTGATCTGTGTTCCTATTTTCATAAGGCATTAAATCCCACTGTGTATAAAACATAGGATTAAGCACCGTCTTATTGCCCTCCACAGATAAAAAAACTGAAAGGTTTTAGCAGTGAAGGGCTTGATGTCCCTTCTGCTTGTGCTGGTCTCTCCCAGCTAACCCCTGACTTAGGTCAGTGTGGGGGAGAAGAGGAGCACATTCAGCACACGGGCTGGCAAGGGTCTGGTGCTGCAAGGTCTGTGGGGAACTCTTCTGGCAGCTGTGTGCATTACATGCCATGTAATGGAGACATGGTGTTTGAGGGGAGGCTTGGGGGACTGAGAGAGCCAGTGACTCCTTCGGAGGGCTCTGTAGCTAAGGAGTCCATGCAACTTGTTCTGCTGCTCATGCTGGCATTTCTGTTGTGTTTAAGTTCTGTGTTTTGTCGCTTCTGGACCAAAAGTGGAGCATCCTTTTTCTCTCCTTACCTCTTTGCATCCTTTCCTGTAAAGACAGTGATGCAGACCTTGCTGTCAATGGGAGCCCAGCCTGATAAAGGATGAAGAGGAAATCAGATAATCCTGGGAGTGTCTCACTGATGGTATGAGTACATCAGGGGGTGGGCAGGTACCTTTTGAGATAAGAATTTTCCTGAGACCCAAGGAGGGAGCCTGTTTTTCCTCCTAATCCTGGGTATCATTCCCTGAACACTTCACATCACCTGCATTTAACCTTAAAAGAGTAACTGAAAAAATGCCAATGGTGCATTTTAATTGCATATACTTGGGAATTCTTATCAGCACCTTTTTGGACAGGTAATTGGATATTTGGACTAAGTGTACTTTTCCTGGAAAGGTATTTACCTTCCACAGATATTTTCCAGTGTTATGTTAGAAGCTAGAACTCCAAGAACCAAAAGCCTTTCAGCTGAAAATGAGATTTTTGAATGGTTGAAATTTTTTTGCTGTTCAAAATGTGAGCATCTTGAGACATTTTCTGACAAGGTAGGGTTTTAATGCTGTAACTTCTCTCCCACCAAGGGGTTGAGTGATGGTTTATTACCTGTTTTTTTTTTAAACAAATGGGAGCCTAGAGAATTCCATTTTCAAAGGTTATCAGTAATGGTGGTAATTAATGCATCATTTTGTCAATAAACCTGATTAAAATGAATGTTATTAAAAACTGAACAGTTATTTGAAAATATGTATTTTAGGAATAATTCAGTTTCCATAAGAACTATTAAAAAATCATGACAATGCTGGATTTGTATCACCTTGGGGGCCACGGATCACTTCTAGGTCAGGGGTAAGGCAGAGGGCAGGCTCAGTAAGTATTGTTGCTCTCAGAACTGTATTTTGCTTGCAGGATAAACTGAGCATTTAAATCTCTAGGGTTATCATTACTACTAAATTCCATGTTAATTGGAAGGACTTGCATCAATTTGTGCTTCTATAGCATTTTTCAGCTCCGGATTTCAGAATTCGTTGACTGAGTCCAGCCCCCTTTTCCTCCCCCTCCCAGTGAGGTAGAAAGCTGAGCCCCAGAGGGGCAATGTGGTTTACCTATATTTACAAAGTGCCTGAGTTGAGTATACAACCCAAGGCTCCTACCCCACTGCTTTAAGCATCTGGACACGGTCTCCTCTTGAAGAAGCAACTAGAAGCCTGGAATAAAAATGTCCTCATCGACTATCCCAC